TAATAGTCGTTCAAGTTTTCAGATAGTAGAGACATAAACAACTATGATGCTTATTATAATAAGTTAATAATAAAAGGCCAGATTTTAATTATGTATAGATAATAATGACTAAAATTAAGCATAACGATGCAAACAATTTGTTACTGAATAATGCATTTCATCAAATTATTATATATGTTTATGTTTTATAGTTTAATTATTAAACTTACACAAAAGGAATAATTACAACTTTAAAAAAAGGGCAATGCAAGTTTCTCTCAAAAAAATTAAAATGAATCGTTTTTTTTTTATTATTAAATAATAATTTGTTTCAAACTGCATTCGACTAATATTAATTTGTACATTCTGAATTGTGCATCTAATTATATTGTAAAACATTTTGACACAATACATACCTATAAATTGATCTTTTCTTTCTGATACTATATCAATACTTGACTACTTGAACTATATAATTTTCCAAAAATTTTCTAAATTCATTTTTGTTAATTCACAAATTATCAATGGATCTAAATTTAATATTAAATAATGATATAGAAAAAAGTATACCAAGATTTTCAGTATCTAATAACAAAATTACACATTCCAATATTGCTATTTTGCAAAACATCATACCTAATCATTATAAATATACTATTGATTCATTTGAAGTATTACAACTGTACAATTTTTTAGGTGCATATATGGAGTCATTTAATGCAAAGTTTCATATAAATATTTCTACAATCAAAGATGCAAATTATGACTTAATGAGTTTTCTGATTTAAATAAAGTAACTATGCAGGAAACTCAAGAACAAATCATTAAAGGTGTCCATTATCTTTTTTCTAAATATCTCTATTGTATGCATAATGATATAATAAAAAAATAATTAGTATATATATAAGAGATACTAATTGTCTATTAACACTTAGCATAAAAGTTAAAAATAATAATGATCCTTATCCATGTAAAATTTCTCTGCTATTTTATCATAATTATCCCCTCACAGCAAGTCATGCAACAAACTTTTGGCCTATATCTAACAATACCAAGAAAGAATTTTTCAAACTCTTTCATGCAGGACATTCTTCCTCTAGTGCATATCATACATATTTGGCTAAAATTCAATTAAAATATGATAATGATGAGGATATTTTGGCTGATAGAGCAATATGCCTACATAAACATGATATTTACTATCTTCACCAAAAATTTTTGGATCAAATTGTTGGTATACGAAATGGAAAAGAAATGTTTTTATGTAAGTCTAAAGAAATTGTAGAGTTTAATAATAGTCATAAAGAAAGTACTTGGATGCAATCATATGTTGCACTAACTAATAATGATCCTGAGCAACCTTTTATCTTAGTAATTATAACAAACCTAATAAAATATTGTCATATACTATAACAAGCCAATAAATTAGTTTATATAAATGCTACAGCTGGTCTTAATATTTCTAATATACTGTTAACACTTATATCTACAAGTACACCTATTGGTGGCTTACCTCTTATCACAATACTAATTTCAGATGAAACAGTATCTACTTTTACAAAAACTTTTGAAGCAATAAAACATATACTGCTATTAGATGCATTTGGTGGATATGGTTTTATTATAGAACCACAAGTTATTATAACTAATGACTTAAGTGCAGAAAGAAAAGCATTAAGTTGTGCTTACAAAAATACAACTATGTTATTATATGTTTTTTACTTCTTGAAATCAATGTGGAGATGGTTATAGGAAGAAAAGCATAGTAATAATAAAAGTGATTATATTATTCTAATTGAATATTTAAAAAAAATAGTGTTTGCTAAAACTGAAACTATGCTTGAAAATGAATATAAAGAATTAACATCAAATCAAATATACTTAAAGTATTTTAATTTTCAAAAACATTTTGAAGGATTGTAGAATTACTGTAAAGAATTGGCTATTGCTTTTTGCCAAAAATTACTAATTCGTAATAATAATACAAATAACTTTGCTAAGAATAGAATAAGAATAATAAAAGATATTATTTTTGAAAGAATACAGGCATATAATATAGTGCAAATTTATCATTTTATTACTAATACATTAGATTTATGCTATACCCAAAAATTGCTTGCAGTAGCTTATAATAGATTAGATAATTATATTAAGCTTTATTTTTGACTTTCAGAATGGAATATTAGGTCAAAAGATGATATTAAACTTATAAATGATGATTCTATGATGTTTAAATATAAAAGTAATAAAACTCCAAGACAATAGTATTTTGTAGATATGAAATTAGGGTCATGTAAATGTAATCTAACAGATGCATCATGTAAACATTAATCATCAATAGCAATTCACTATTGTATATGTAACATAAACCAAATACCTATTATGTCAATAAATAGTCATTATCAGTATGCTTATTTAGCATTAGGTGACAAATGCAAAGAACTTAGCTTTTATGCAGATTTTTATCAAGCATGATTTGATTAAGAATCTGTATTTACAACAAATATAAATAGTAAATTATTTAATAATATAACAGATATTAATTGTGAATCTAATTTTAATAATTTAAATAAAAATGATGTACTTTTCAAACCTGAGTCTTCAGTATTTTCACAATCTTCACAATTTTCAAGTAACTATAATGAAGATAAAGACATTGAAAATAATAGTCAAAATAGTAACAGTAATTATAGCAATACAAGTGAAAATAATAATAATCTCTATCAAGTAACTAAAGATGAATTTCATTAGTTTTGTTGTAATTTTAAAAATCTTCTTGAAGAGAATGATTCTGTTTTGAACAAAAGTGTATATAAGTTTGTAAAAGTTTATAAAAAACATCGTACTATACAAGATACTTATATCTGACTAGCAATATCTTTATTTCTTCAAAATTGTAACCAAGAAACTGGTTGAATTAATAGTAATAGTTACTAGCATAGGGGTAAAAGGATTAGAGTTCAGGTTACTGCAACTGCTAGGCACAAAAAAAGCTTAAATCATGGGCTTAAAAAAATTTGACAAGTAAGACTAAAAAGTAATGTGTATAATAATATAGATGAAACTGAGATTTAAGAGAAGTCTGACTATTTTATTATGCCTTTGTGAAAGAAGTAACAAAAAAAGCATGCTTATAATTTGCAACAAGCTTTAGTAGAAAACTGATCCAATAGAGTATAATACTATAAAAAAAAAATCAAAGTATCTTAAACTATGAAAAAAAGAATTAAGATTTATATTTATCTACACATGTTATGCATTAATTAAATTTTTTTAAACTATTATAGTAAGTTCATTAAAAAAACTTTTAATACATACATATGTACATATTATAAGTTTACCAAAATTCTTATATGTATCATCTTGACATCAAATTTTAAGCACATTAAAATTTCTTTAAGATTTTTGTTATATGTATTAACTTTACAAAAAAAAAAAAAAAAACTTATTTCAAGTAACTTTTTGTATCTTTGTTTCGTAAGAAAAATTTTTTTTATATAAAATTATTATGATAATAGAAATAGATTTGATAAATAGTCTTCTATGAATATGTTCACTATAAAATTTATTAAAAATAATGCAACCTCATATATTATTTATATTAAAAAAACTTCATCAGATTTTAATTTGATTTGTGTAATACAATATGCATATATATGCATAAAATTTGCACTTGTTGATATAAGTGTTAACAGTATATTAGAAATATTAAGACCAGCTGTAGCATTTATATAAACTAATTTATTGGCTTGTTA